GCATCATGCGATTGTAATGTTATGCGATCTGTTTGCATGGTGAGTTTAAAGATGGCTTGGCTTTAATCACGATCAACAGGGCGATCAACTTATTTTGGTGAAAATGTACTTTCTTGAGTAAGGTTTCATCGGCGGTAAAGCATTAATCGATCAGCCACCGACAGCAAAGAGTTGTATGGAAATGAGGTCAAACGATTTAACTTGGTCAAACTTATGTTATGTAGATTTTCAATTATTTTTGTCATTGAAATGTGTTGAACTTGAGTTTTTGTAATAATCTAGTTAAGAGAGAGCCCTCATAATTTGGCACAAGTGTGCCACTGTTTTTCTATAACTGATAATGGTTATGGGTGTTCGAAAAGTAGTTCAACGTTAACATGAACGTGTGTTGGTTATCGAAACGATGAGAAACTTTCCTCATGAATCCGAACGAAAATCGAAATCTGAGTTACTGCGATTGACTTAAATCGTTTTTCTAAATTGTTATTTTTTATTTTATTTCGAGCGAGATCAAAATAACGTTAAACGATTGTAGCGGAACATAAAATGACATTAATTTTGCGATGATAACGTCACTTACAAGTATCTATTACAGGTCGTGTAGATCACCATTGCTTGATTTATAGCAAAAACATTGACTTTGCACGTTGGTTGCGTTCCCGGGGTGGCGTTGCATTTTTGATAGATCTCAAATGTTAGAAGAATATCGATTCAAAAAAAATCCCAGAAGACCTACACATTTTACCATACCATACCATACCGTGATATACATGATGGTATCCCCATGCTAAGTCATTGGTCAATGGTGTATGTCCCCAAAATCAATATAGAAAATCTACATCGTACTGCTAAATATATTATGCTGTATATTTCTCTCGATTTGGGGAAGCTATGGCCACCGTATGGTTGCCGTAGATCAAATGTGACTGAGGCTTAAATGCATACAAAATTTCACCACCTGCAAATGGTTACAAACGTGTTACAGTTGATCGATGTTGTCCCTGACTGTCAACAACAAAAAGAAGATCAGATTTGAACTTATGAGCACTTCGAGATGATTCTTAAAAGAAATTGTCATTTTGAAACAAGTTGAAAAATACCTTTTTTGACCTTCAATAAGTTGCCAACATTGCCTGTGATATAGTTTGATAACCTTTACCTCTGACCTTGAAAGCGTTACACTAGGTATTTTGTGAATAAGCTGACTTAAATTTGGATCGAAGAAATCATTTTTTGACCTTTCGAAGGTCATTGAAGGTCAACTAAAGGACAAATCTTCAATGTAAAGTCGGAGTTGAACTTTTGAGAACATGATTTCGAAAAAAATGGCCAATTGAACTTAACTTATTTGTTGCCATGGTAACAGGTATGGGCAGAACGTTGGAACTCATAACATATTATATATGTTGACAGTAAAAATTTTGAGTCAGTCTTAACAGTACTTGTTAAATTATTGGAAGTTGTAAGAATTTGTTACAGACGCCATAAGAATCTGTTACAGAAGCCGACCAACGGACGCCAGACACCGAACACCAACTTCCGTCCACAAAAAGGTTGGAAACCATAACAATACATCCTCCTAAGCAGGTGTCCAGAATCCGTACCTCCTTCTTCCCCCCTGGAGTAAAAAGAAAGAAATATTCTAGATTTTGAAGCCCTGTGATCGGATGTGATAACAATAAGTATATATGTCACCACTTCTGGTGGTAAAATAACAAAAGTTCAAAGGGCTTTAAATACAATTCCTAAAACAGGGATCTATAGAATTATCTTACCTTTCTAGGAAGGGGGGCTACGTATGCCATGATAATCTAATATTTAGTTTTTTAATATTTATTCAGGGATAGGCTATTCTCTAAAGAATTAAGCTGTCGCACTAGCCATATGGGTTCACCGTTCGCCACCACGTGGCTAATTTTGAGCATTGATTTTTTTAATCAATTGATTGATTAATTCTTGTATTTGGTATTATTGGGGATATCTTGCTGTAACCTTTTGTT